TGGTTTTGTAGGTTGGTTAACCATATGGTTGAGTCTCATGAGACTCATCTAGGTCAGCTGCCCATGTGACTATGGCACAACTATTCTAGGTGGAAATATAAAGAGCTCCACATCTCTTTACTTTAAAATGCTCTCTTTTCCAGGTTCATCTGAAGTCATACCACAGTTCACAGTCTGATCACACAGGATATTATTTTCTTCACCACTAGCCATACAGTGAAAGTCCATTTGTTTTGTTTTGTCTTGTGCCCCATAGAGTTATGAGTTAAAGTACATCTTATACTTTGTCACCTATCTGGAACAGGGCTTTTAGCCTAACAGCTAAGCAAGGTTAGTTCTTCCTAATGATCAGAGGGTAAAAATGATTTATGGTTCATCATAACAGAAGTCATGAAGTTTTACAACTGATTAGAAGACAGTGCTCCGGCAACACTGAAAGAGCTCCATACAGCTCAGCACCATGCTCCTTGACACCCAGGAAATCCCTGTGGTCTACGGGAGAGTTTCTCCTGCAAGTTCCAAAGACCCCGGAAGCCTGCTTCACAATAAACCAGAGCAGGCCTTCTCATGTAGCTGCCCTTGTTCTACAGAATAGCGTTCCTGTTGAGATATGACAGGCGCCCAATATCTGCATGCTCCAGAAACAATTGAAGACATTTTTGTTTTGACAGGCTTTCCCTGCTGGATAGATGGGTCTTTACCACAAGCATCTACTGGTTAGGGTTTCAGTCTTGCTTTAAATGCATTAGGAGGAAAGACTTAAAATCATAGAATTGTAGAGTTTGAAGGGACCTCAAGGATAATAATAATAATAATAATAATAATAATATATTTATTTATACCCTGCCCATCTGACTGGGTTTCCCCAGCCACTCTGGGCAGCTCACAATAGAATATTAAAAACATGATAAAACATCAAACATTAAAAACTTCCCTAAACAGGGCTGCCTTCAGATGTTTTCTAAACGTCAGGTAATTGTTTATTTACTTGACATCTGAGGGGAGGGCGTTCCACAGGGCGGTCGCCACCACCGAGAAGGCCCTCTGCCTGGTTCCCTGTAACTTTGTTTCTTGCAGTGAGGGAACCACCAGAAGGCCCTCGGAGCTGGACGTCAGTGTCCAGGCTCAACGATGGGGGTGGAGACACCAAGGCCATTAAAGGTCAGCACCAACACTATGAATTGTGCTCGGAAGCGTACTGGGAGCCAATGAGGGTCTTTCAGGATCGGTGTTATATGGTCTTGGGAGCCACTCCCAATCACAAGCTGCCACATTCTGGATTAATTGCAGTTTCTGGGTCACCTTCGAAGGTAGCCCCACATAGAGCATATTGCAGTAGTCCAAGTGGGAGATAACTAGAGAATGCATCACTCTGGCAAGACAGTCTGCGGGCAGATAGCGTCTCAGCCTTTATACCACATGGAGCTGGTAGACAGCTGCCCTGGACACAGAATTCACCTGCACCTCTATGGACAGCTGTGAGTCCAAAATGACTCCCAGGCTGCGCACCTGATCTTTCACCCCATTCAGGACCAGGGAGTCCTCCACACCCGCCCATCCGCTGTCCCCCCAAAACAGTCCTTCTGTCTTGTCAGGATTCACCCGCAATCTGTTAGCCGCCATCCATCCTCCAACCGCCTCCAGGCACTCACACAGGACCTTCACCGCCTTCACTGGTTCTGATTTAAAGAAGAGGTAGAGCTGGGTGTCATCTGCATACTGATAAACACCCAGTCCAAACCCCCTGATGATCTCTCCCAGCGGCTTCATATAGATGTTAAAAAGCATGGGGGAGAGGACGGAACCCTGAGGGGCCCCACAAGTGAGAGCCCAGGGGTCTGAACACCCATCCCCTGACACCACTTTCTGGACATGGCCCAGGAGGAAGAAGCGGAACCACCGAAGAACACTGCCCCCAGCTCCCAGCCCCTCAAGACGGTCCAGAAGGATGTCATCAAGTCCATCACAGGGTTGGTCTAGATGTATCTCAGGGTCCCTTCCAACTTTGATTTGGATGAGCATAGGTTACAGACAGAAAAGCTATTGGCTTGTTTCAAAAAATAGTTGCTTAATTAATTCATCAAAATTAGCAGGTGTGAAATGTATGAGTAGTAAAATCCCTTATAGTAACTTTATTCCATAAAGATATATTCCATTTTCATAAACTGAAATGCATTTGTTTTAATATATGTCATAACAAACTTTGGCTCTTCAGCTGAAACAGTGCAGGCCAGACTAAGTAACAGACTGAAAGGGATCTTAATTACTAGTGACTCCACAAATCATACCCACCCCCTGTAAATTAGCCTAAGTGCCTAGCTATTTACAGCCTTCCACAGATTTACACTATCTGAATTTTTGGTCCTCTAGCACAGGGATCAGCAAACGTTTTCTAGCAGGGGGCCGGTCCACTGTCCCTCAGACCTTGTGGGGGGGCAGACTATATTTTGAAAATATATATATATGAACGAATTCCTATGCCCCACAAATAACCCAGAGATGCATTTTAAATAAAAGAACACATTCTACTCATGTAAAAATACCAGGCAGGCCCCACAAATAACTCAGAGATGCATTTTAAATAAAAGGACACATTCTACTCATGTAAAAACACGCTGATTCCCGGACCATCCGCGGGCCGGATTTAGAAGGTGATTGGGCTGGATCCGGCCCCCAGGCCTTAGTTTGCCTACCCGTGCTCTAACATCTTTAAGAATACAAACAATTTATGATACCACTTTGCTTTTGCAACAAATTACTTTATCTTAAAAAAAAACAACAGACCAAATATTAAGCCAAATCATAAATCTTTTTTTGACTTCCCATGCTCTGAGGTCAGAGGATTGCAACTATCTCACATTTGCACTGCTTTCTTAATTAGCCCAGGTGATTCCCATCAATCAATCCGAGGTTTAGCCTTTGTTCGTTTTCACAGCCTCTGAGTTTGTCCAGCAAGCGAGTTATATCAAAACAAAATGCCTCTGTGTGGGTGTTTATTTTCATCCGTGTCTTTCACTTTCACTTCTTCATGCCTGTAATTATCCAATGACACGTCCCAAAATGGAGGAAATCTGGCTTTCTGCCAGTTGTTTCAGGCATATGTCCAACTCTTCGTCTCATCTCATACCAGAACAAATAAGCCTGTACTTTGACTAGAAGCCTCAGTTCTCATCTCCCGCTCTTAACAGTCCATCATAATTAGTTGCAAATTCATAAATCTTTTCCACACAGTTAGTAATTAGAGCAAAATTATATCAATATTACAATACAGTTCAATCTCACTTGTGTACATAATCCATCGGTATTCAGACTTTCCAGGGGGATTTACCAAGTAAAATCGCAAATACGTGATATATCAAAAAGAAACAAAGGAGGCTCCCCCCCTTTCTGTTTCGACATACCAGTTCCAAAATATAGATAGTCTCTCTTCCACTCGAATCCTTTAGCTCCTCAGTGGCTGAATCAGTTGACAGAGTAGTATATCTCCCCTCCCTCAGAGCATGCCCGTTAATTAAGTCCGAATTATCATCTTAAAAAACAGGAGTATGTTCGCTCATGGCGGGGACTTTAGAGAGTTGCCAAAGAGATGCACGGTGTTATCCACCCAGAGCCCCCTGCCCCCTCATTCCTATCGGATTGGGGGCAGGTGTTGGGAGATCTGCAGATGAAGCTGCCCCCCCCACGGCCCTGGGGGGTGGGTGGGTTGGGAGGATGATTACTCCCATCTCATCCTCAAAATATCCCATGCGAAACAGCTCAGATGTAATCAACAGCCTCCGCCATGGCAACTACTTTATCATATTTGAAAATAAAACAAGTAGACAACTCCCATCATCCCTGACCACTGGTCCTGCTAGCGAGGGATGCTGGGAGTTGTAGTCCAAAAGCAGCTGGACACCCAAGTTTGAGAAACGCTGCAGTGGGCAAGATGGTAGGAGGGGTAGTTCAGGAGCACCTAGAGGGACACAGCAGCTCCCTCCCCAGCATTTCTCTGGTGAAAAGAGGGACTTCAAACAGTAGGATCTTTGGGGACTTTCTTTGACTCAAGAAAATCACCATTTTATAGTTCAAATTGGGAAAAATAAATACAGTAAATGGACAAAAGTACAAAGATTCACAACATGCTTAGGGGTATGCATCCGCCTGCGTTCCCCCCAGAAAAAAAGCACTGAGTTTATTCATTTAGGGTCTGACACATCCTGTTATGGCCACGCAATTGTTCCATTTTGCATCCCATTGTCTATTACAGGTAACATTTTTGAGAATCGGGCCCCGTTTCTGTTGCATGAACTAGCCACTACTAGATTGTAATGTATGAAAACAAACCCACTCATTTTGAGCCTTTCCCCTGCATCTTTTTATACTCAGCCCAAATGAAATGCATTACTGGTGCAAAATATCAGGCAGGAGAATAGAGATGATGCTGTGTTTTTTGTTACTGTTGTTGAAGAGCACCTGAAATTTGCTGTCCCTGTCTCTTTTTCCTTTATTGCCCAGATGCTACAATCCTGTTAGTGTAGATCTAGCAGGTGACTGACCTGCTAGGCAGCTTGCAGTTTCGCTCCTTCTTTGCAGTCTAAACAGGATTGCTGAAGCATAAACTATATTTTAATCTTTTGAAGCGAAGATGCTAATCTGAAACCTGCTGTTGGCTGGCTACCAGGCTTCTGCCAACTCTGATAACAGTGCATGACTTAGGATGATTTAGGAGGGATTGAGATGTCAGCTCGACACTCAGGCTTCAGGTTTGTCTGGCTAATGGAAACTAGATGAGGGTTTATGCTGAAGCTTGCTCATAAAACTTCACTGTGTGAAGTTCTCGCCTTTCAGCAGCAATTTTTCTCTATTGGCTTCTAAGTTTGGTATATAAGAAGTAGGTGGTCTGACGGGTTAAGGGGTGCAAACTCCTGGGGGCCCAATCCTTTCCCTCCCCCCTTGCATTTTTTGGGGGGTGCCCCCAATGTCCAAAAAACTCAGTGCCAAGTGTGGAGCCGGGCTTCAGTGACCAGCTCCTCCTCCTCCTGCTGCTGCTGCTGCTGCTGCTGCTACAGACAGGAAGGGGGGAAGCACCCTCAGCCAGTGGCGACAGCAGCAGCAGCAGCAGCAGCAGGAGGAGGAGGAGCTGCCACTGACCTTGGCAGCCATGCTGCCATCACACTCAGCTCTGCCCCCTGGCGTCTCCGATGTTCTGATGCAATGCCATGTTGTCGCGTGCATGCAATGTCACACGTGACCTTGCCCCCAATCTCCCTCCCAAGTTGGCACCTCTGGATGGGTTGTAACCTCCCTTGCTACCTTCTGTTATCTCTTTCCAGGTTTCACTACAGGTTTGTTAGTAAGGGCATTTGAGGAATTTGATCTTTATGAATTTCAGTACAAATTGATCTGCAGTCACACACACAGCCATATAAACGTTTGGACTGGAACTTAATTATCCTTCAACTTTTGTGCTTCCCAAATGCTCTGGTGCAGTTTTTGATACAAAAATGTATCAAAATACATTTTAATATGCTTATTTTGAGGGGGGAAATACATTTAATAACTGACTGCCCATTATTGGAAACTAGAGGCTGAATACAATAATTCTTTGGTGTGATCCAGCAGAACTACTCTTATGTATATTGTTTTATGAATAAAACTTGTGGCAAAGCTGTCATCCAAGACAGAATTTTCTGAATGCCAACGTATTCCATGACTGATGTCTCTATAATTTAGTCAACATTTTATTCTTAGAAAATAACCATTTCAGACAAAAGCCTGGAATCCGTCCTGCTTTTAAGACTTGAACTGTTGCATCTTGTGAAAGGTATTCAGCTACAATGTGGGGACATGAGAGGTTTCCATTACTATGATTACCCAAAGAGGTTGTCAATTATTATTTAAGTTTGCAAAAGCAGCATTTCCGAGACTGGGTTTTTATTAATTTGGAGTAATATAAATTCAGACCTAGGCAAGTCTCCCTTTCTCCAGTTTTTTTCATAAATAAGTTGATGTTTTTATTCATTTACCTCATGGCACACATTTATAGCCTGCATCGGGGAAAGAAGGATATGTTTCAAAATCTGGCAGAGAGCATGGTGAGTTCAGACTTCATTTGAAAGGATATGAGGCCTGTGAATCTCACTGTCTGTTCACTGGAGTAGGAAAACTGACTCCATCATTTGACGGCTTCATAGATCAATTTAAAAGGTACAGAGGAGAGTAGCGTTGGTAGCATTGCTTTTTTAAAAAAATAATAATTACCTGGCATTAGTTTCTTGTCATATCCAGTAAAGCGCTAGGGTAGCCACATAAAACATGCTGAGCAGAATTTGGTATCTGGAATTTTTATGTGACAAATTACCTCATTACTTTACAAAGGTAGTGGTACAAAGACATTTTCTGTAAATTAAGAGGGCAAATCTACAGACAAAAAGTGTGGATTGTGGTTCATGTCCTGTAGTAATTAGAGACTCCAGTCAATCTCAGGATTGCCTATGGCTGAAATCGGGAGCCTGAATAGGATGTTTCCATGCCTCCGAATTCTTCTCTAATGTTCTTACCTGCTTTGGTGGCACTTCTTGTACATGTGCTCAAGGTTTAGTTCATCACCGTATCGTGTGTGGGCAGGAATTACTACTATGGCAAGACCTTCACAGAAATTGATCTTACTGAAGCTCCTTTGGTTGCTTCAAAATTCCTCAGATGTTTTGCCTCAGAAGGATCCTCTAGATTCACTTCAAATGCTGTTTTAATGTTGGCCAGTGGGCCTCTCAAAACCTTTGTAACACTGTGGAAGACATAGATGACTCAGGTGGTGGAGACAAATGCTTCTAAGCACCTCTCTCACTGAATAGAGCTCAGACACCTTGGTTCGCTATGGAGCCCTGAAAAGGCACAATCAAAGTTTCCCATTAAATGTTTCATTAAGAAATAGAATGGCTTGTTGCTCAGACCTCAGAGCCTACTTTCTCTAATTAGGTCTCTCTAACATGAACATGATGTAGGTAAGATAAACAGAAAAGAACCTCGGCAGCAATCCTGGTGAGCTGGTGGTGGTGGTCCACGTTGGCATGGTCGTTCTGGACCCCCATACAGCCCTGTGTGACCAGTGGAGGACGTCTGCCCATTTGAACTGACCAATCACAGGCAGGCTAGGGGGTGCAGCTTGGATGTAGGACCTGGGCTGGCTAGCCCTCACTCAGCTCCACCAGCTACTCAGAAAAAGGGGCCACGGCTTTGCTGGCAGTTCAGCTGGAGCTGGATTTCCCCACTCTCCCACCCTCTTTCTTCTCAGTATTTCTGGTCTGGCCCATAGATGAATGGGCAGACCTTGCTCAAGTCGTAGTGATGGTACTCCACGGGTGGAATCTACACACACACACACACACACACACACATATATATAGTTGTGAAAATGCTTTTTAAAAATACATTGAATTTTGCATAGCTCACTGTTGCCATCTAGTGTCACATTTGTATACTGCACTTTACAAAACATTTAAAACATTTTATTTGCAGCTGTGTAGATGAGTCCTTGATCACCGAATTCAGGGCCAGGGAGGAATTTTCCAGCAGAAAAACTGGTCTTGTCTGAAGGTTTTGCCTGCCTCATGGCAACTGTCACAACATTCGTTGTTGGTGGATAACACATTGGGATGGATCCCTAGTTAAAAGCAAGGTCAGGAGCCCATTGACAAATAAAAAGGGGTACCCCATTAAAGGGAGGGTGCTTGTCAGGATGCCCAAATGGGGGCCTCCCCAGACTGGTGATCCTGGACAGTCACCCCAAATTGATGTACAGTGGTACCTCGGGTTACAGACGCTTCAGGTTACAGACGCTTTGGGTTACAGACTCCGCTAACCCAGAAATATTACCTTGGGTTAAGAACTTTGCTTCAGGATGAGAACAGAAATCATGCGGTGGTGGCGCGGCGGCAGCAGGAGGCCCCATTAGCTAAAGTGGTGCTTCAGGATAAGAACAGTTTCAGGTTAAGAATGGACCTCTGGAATGAATTAAGTTCTTAACCTGAGGTACCACTGTACATCTGAGTGTGACTCATCCACCAGGGTGGACCCAACCAAAATAATCAATTAGCAGCTGGGTTGATTGGTTTGGGATACATGCCAAAGCCTACTGACATCAGTAATTCATCAAGTTGTGGCCTATTTGAAGCAAGCTTGCTGTCCTGTGTCTTTACTCCTTGCCTCACAGATAGTCCTGGTGACCTTGGGCTCACTGTGCTGAGGCCAGCATTGCCTACGTTGACTAGCAGGGTCTCAAGAAGAGGTTTTCCCCAGTCTGGCTACCACACATCCTTTAAGTGGAGATATCGGGGGGGGGGAGGGGACAGCACACCATGAAAACACATATCAAATTCACTGGTAACTAATCACAGGTACATGACTCCTCCTGGCTTGTAGCATGTCAAATAATGGAACCAGAAGCGTGGAATAAATGTGAAGCAGTCAGTTCACATCACTGTTGTGCTTCATACACTGTGTAGAGCTGATAGTGCATGACTTTCTGAAGAATGTGCGGCAGAATTAATCTGCTGCTAGAATAGGCAGTTGGAAGCTCATCAAGCATTTTCCTGTCACAGAACTGTAAAATTATTTGGATGCTGCTGCTGACAAAAGAGCTCCTTCAGGGACAGCTTTAAACACCAAGGTGCACAGGTCCTGGGTCAGCAACTACTCTTTAGCAGTGGCCATATTGGAGCGGAGCAAGGACTGAAGGGCCAGCAGCGTTAGATCTTCCCACCAGCTCTCCTCCGTCTCCCAAGAGGCATTCAGCAGAGGCATAGAGACCCAGGCCCAGACCCCACAGCATTCCCCAGATGAAAATAGGGACATTTGAGGGGTGCTGGAGGGGGTGCTGCCCCTTCAGCACCTGTGATTCTGCCACCGCCACCTCCCAAAAATATTCTCGCTCCCCCTCCGCAAATGACCCTTGTTGGGCTAGTTTTGCCTCACTTACTATTCTAATGTGGACACTGTAAGTTCATCAAGTCTGGCCCTTGGCCTGAAATACATTTCCTGTAGTTCTGTGAATCTGCTATTAATTTGGCTTTGCATAAACCATATATTGCAATGGAAAAGTCAAGAGCCCAGGTTGATCCTAGAACTCTTGCTGTGGTCACTGGATATTCATTCATTTATTACCCTCCCCCCTTCATGTCTTGCACATGGACTGCCAAGTGTTCTCCTGGATTCTGTCATAACTACGCCATGTGGCACCAGACTATTCTCTGAACAAGAAAGAAACTGAAGTCCCACACCACCTTCCATTCCTGCCCCAAACCTGCAGTACTCACTTGGCTTTTCCATACTTCACTCATGGTTAATTTCCCCCCTATTAATCAAATTACATTTCCAATTAAGCTTTGGCTATGTATTTGCTTCACTAGGGTTCTTGAGAGAATTAAGAAATGTGTTTTATAATTAAGTGCTTAAGTATTAGGATTTAATAGTTGGTAATTAGAGGCTTTTTAAATGAGAAATTGGTCTTCCTATACAATTTCAGCAACTGAAATCTAATTTATATGTCCACCTTCAGGGAAGCCAAAGAAATGAAGCAAATTTAAAGCAATGCAATTCATTTTAGAGATAGGTAAAAATAGCCACTAATGAAAGCCCATTTAAGCTTATAAGCCAGAAATCCAAACATTATATATATCATGGTATAGTCTCATGATACAGAAAATGCATAATAAAGGGGTTTCCCCCCCTTTTTTCAAATATAGAATTCATTGCTTCAAACAATATTGCACCTTATTTGCTTCAAGATCCTTTTCTATAAGCAAAATATGCTTGCCTAATCTTAAACTATAGATTTGCAGATTGATTTTCTGAAAGGGTGGGGAGCTTAAACTGTGGAGTCCAGCGGGATTCTCCACTTAAGTATTGCTGGGGTGCCAGGTGGTATTTTATCTGGCATTTTGGACTGTTCCACTTTTCTTTGGAATGCCTGCCTTAATGCAGTGTGAAAGGTGATACCTCACCACGGCAGCCAATCAAACCATAATGTCCTCCATGTGTGTGCCCAATGACGCACTCACCTGGCAAGGGCTTGGGCTTGCGTGGCAGAAGAGCAGGCCTACTCACTGCCCACCAGACGTGGGGGACACATGCAGGCAGGAGCCATGGCTGATTCACGGCATCTTCCACCGCGTGGCTTTGTGTGTGC